ATTTCTCTAAGTAAATAAAAGTAAATTAGGTAATCAACCCTCACTGGTCTCGGTCTCGACTCGGACTCGACCGTCTCTGGTCTCGGACTCGACTCGGACTCGACTCTCTATGGACTTGGTCTTGACTCTCTCTGGTCTCGGTGTCGACTCAGACTCGAGTGAGGTGGTCTCGACTACAACACTGGTTACCAACACTAAGTCAAACCCTAAAGCGATACATTATTTTAAACATGCACAGCAGTTTTAAAATGTATATAATTATAATTTGAATAGATTGTGTGTGAGTTCTGGAGTAATAATTCAATTTGATAGTCCACTTTTGACATTTCACTAAGTAACTGCTAGTCATTAGTAGACTGTCTGCTTAATATCTAACACTTACATTTATGCATTTGGCAGACACTTACATGCAAAGTGACATTGCATTTCAAGGTACACATTTACATTCTTATCACTTCTTGCTTTCCCTGGGAATCAAACCCATGACCTTGGAGTTGCAAGCGCCAACGCTCTACTGAAAGTTTATTTTACAATTTATTCTGATTCAGACATTCTACTGAGTCCGATTTGGTTGTTTTAGAAAGTAATCAATTACGGTTAGAAGAATTGTTGCCAAACATATCAGAAACATAGAAATCACTGCATTAATGATCCAATCATAGACTTTAAGCATTAGCATATTTAAATCTAGTGGCAGTGTATGCAAAAAAATTAAAACATGTTGAGCTATGAGGTCAAAAGACTCAATTAGACCCCAATTATTAGTTCAAACTATTATCTATGGTTTTGCTTTCAGTTCACGACAATAACCCAGAAATGCACACACTTTGTATGTTCAGAGAGATTGTTTTAACCTTTTCTTCTTTTGTCTTCAGGCGAGACGTTCTCCGAGAACTTCAGCCACACGGAGAAGTGCCAGCCTTGCACGCCATGTTCTGAACTCACGCGCATGCTGGAGCCCTGCACCGACACCAACGACGCAGTGTGTGTCTGCGACTACGGCTTTTTCTTCAGCGACGTGACGGGGCGCTGCGAGACCTGCACAGTGTGTCCTGTGGGCCAGGGCGTGCTGATAGGCTGTAGTTTTGACCGTGACACGATATGCGAGGAGTGCTTGGATGACACTTTTTCAGACCAGGAGACGTCTTTCGACCCCTGCCTGCCCTGCACACAGTGCGAACAGCCTGACTTGGAGTTGGAAAGCTGCACTCCTCTCCGTGACGCTGTCTGCCAAGGTAAGACAATCTAGAATCAAAATCAAGTAAAAACTACAGTAAATATATGGCTTACCCTGACACAATGTGACAAATAGTTGTCTGTTACTCACTCTCATGCTTGTTTTTAAAATCAGTGGTTAAAAAAAGACCCCGTGTGTTGACCCACAACGCCTCTGTTCTTTAGAGATGACAAAAAGTCCAATTATGACAACTAGATTTTTACACTTGCATGCAAGTCATCTTAGCATTTTTGGTAACACTTTATTTTACAGTGTCCTTGTTACATGCAGTTATTATAGTAATAAGTATAAATTACATGCAACTAAACCTAAACAAATGAAACTCTAATCCTAACCCTTTAAGTGTATGTAATTATTCAGTACTTAAAAGTATAATAAAGTGTAACAAAGAATAAAAGTTTAAAAGTTTAACCCCAAACCTAATCATAGCACATGTAGTTTATTATTACTCAGTACTTAAAAGTATAATTACACTGTAACACAGACACCTTAATAATATTGTTTTACCTGCTGTTGATGGTATTGATGACGTCTCCAAAACACAGAAATGATTAAAAATCTGCGAAGCATGTCGACTTCACAACACAGTACTTCTAAAACTCTGTAGCATACAATATTTGTTATTATTTTAGAAGCTCGTGTCACAACAATATTTAAACAAATATTTCATGTTTAATCCGTGCTCATTATAGTTTATAGCTACATTACTAGTAAACAGTTTGGAACATTATGATATTTTAAAATGTGTTTGAAAGATATTTCTTATTTTCACCAAGTCTGCATTTATTTGAAAAAAAATACAGTTGCATTGTGAAATATTTAAAGTAGCTGTTTTCCGTTTGAATATGTTTTCAAATGTGATTTATTCCTTTGACCAAAGCTGAATTTTTTAGCATCATTACTCCAGTCTTCAGTGTCACATGATCCTTCAGAAATCATTCTAATATGCTTAATATATATATATATATATATATATATATATATATATATATATATATTTTTTTTTTTTTGTGGAAACTGAGATACACTTATAATGGGAGACAGGAATAAATCACATTCTAAAATGTTTTTGAATTAATTTTTATAGTATTATTATTATTATTAATTAATTTTTCATCAAATAAATGCAGCCTTGGTGAACATAAGAGACTTCTTTCAAAAACAAATTGCAGTTATTCCAAACTTTTGACCAGTAGTGTAGGCCTACATATTTTATTATGTTAAAAGCTGGTCTCTTAATTTTTTTTTTTGTCATTTTGCAGTTTGGCTCTTTAGAAGTAATTTTTTTTTGTCATTTTGCAGTTTGGCTCTTTAATAAAATGAAGTAAGGTGGACTTAAATTTAACTTATTTTAAATTTAATTTAACTTAAATATTAACTTTATACATATATATATATATATATATATATATATATATACACACACATACACACACACATAAATGAAAGGATTTTTTTGTGAAAAGACAAAACTATGACCAAACAAAACAAAAAAAAACTAAAAATGAAAACATAATGTACCGTACAAGACAGTTCTGCCTAAAGGACAGAATGTGGTAGATGAGATATTCTCATGATCATTGCATCATTCACAGTTCACTGTTGTGTTTGCATGAAGACAAGTAACATGACTTACCTTTTATGATTGCCCATTTACTGAACTCTCTGCTTAATGTCAGATGCTCTCGGCGTATAGCCAGAAACCGAACATTTGTTGTCCTATTACTGAACTGAATTTAGCTATGAATAAAATTAAAACAGTATTTTGAGCAATGGATCACATTGAAAGATCTGCAGTCAACATTACAGGCTTTGTTCTGGGTCGCTCTCAGAAGTGGATCAGAGAAAGAGGCTTTGTACACAGCCCAAATTCTGCCATCACAAAAAACATACTAAGTGCAATGGATTTTAAATGTACTTTCTTAATGTATTCTCATTATCGGATTACACACAATATATATATATATATATATGAGGTCATTTTGAGCATTTATGCAATCTGTGTGTATGGACACAATCTGTGATTCAGTTGAAAGGTGTTTTATTATCAGCTTTACCAACTGTTTTAGATGTTTCTCCTTGGCAAATCTTGTTTCTTAATTGGACATTTTGGGAAACAGAAGACTTAATTAGAAGTCTACGTTTGCTCTTCTTTTAATTGTCTAAGAAACACAATAAGCCTATCTTCTGTAATGTTTCATTCATGCATTTTCTGTTCTGTAAAGATGTCCGCCACGCAAAAATATCAAATCCGATCACTTAGGAAACTAATAGATCACTTCTCAACAAATCACAATTTGAGCCATTAGCATATCATCCGTCTCGTCCTGCACTTTAATATCCACAAACGTAAGTATGAACAATACGAATAACAAAAGCTGCCCTTATCTTATACCGCCACTTACTCTAAAACTTCGGAAAGTAAGAAAATAAACTACATTTCTAAATTTCTAACTTCTACAATTTTCTTGATTTATTTGACATGTAATTGTCTTAAACAAAGATTATTAATGCCATTGCCAATAGCTAATCAGCAAACATTAGGCACTAATAATGGGGTTTGGATCTGCCGAGGCGTGTGTGTAGGTATGCATGCCTGATGTTTATCTGTCACTGATCAACATGAGATTTCCTCTGACCCCGTCTGACCTCTTGCCGGGGTCTTAGCATGAAGGTGAGAGGTCATAGGTTATGCGTGGCTACTGATTTCAGTGTTAGATATAGAATAAAGAATTTTCATATGTATCATTCAGGAGCATTAGAAAATGTCCTCGACTATAGACCTTTTGTAGCACTTCCCTTTTGAGCGCTGCACTCGTTGTGTTTTGTCTTCCGGTTTGTATTTCCACAGCATGAAGGTAAGATCTTACGGATTTATAAATGAAGCTCTCCTACAGACATATGTTGTGGTATCCGCTTCAAACATTACAATGCTCATGATAACTTTCGTTTACTCTACAATAAGTAAATCCACTTCATCAGCTAATTACTCTTCGAAAGTGATGCCATAAAAATACACACCAAAAAATATTTGAACCTCACATATACATTTTAAAAGAACCAAACTCAGATGTCTCAAAGTGGAACAAGAGGGTGAAAACAGACTCAGATCTCTTTATGTTCACACTGTCCCTGCCCCTGAAAGTCTCTTTTAGGTCTACTTAACGCAACAACAAGTAGGATTTTTTTTTTACCTTCGTTTCAGTGGTTCATGAAGTTGTGACATGGTGAAATGCACTTATGCCACCGCTTTGCAGTCCTTTATCCGTTATATCCACGCTATGTAATCGGGTCACATTTCTGTAGTCCGAATGAGACATGAGAAAACTACAAATTTGACTTGCTTTACGGCAAGCGTTACAATTGCGATAGATGGAGCGTACTCGACAGTTAGTCTCAGCCTCAGACGTCACGCCCACAGAATGTTGGCTAAATGTCTGATACATATGGTACACTTAACTGGAAACACTTCAGGAATATCAAAGTCATCATAGGATTGGTTGAATTTTATCGGATTTCCGGGGGGCACGAGTGTCGCGTTTATTTTCGGTCTGCCGGGAAACAAAGCGCAAACGTGTGATGACGGAAGAAAAAATGTTGTGTTTACATGAGACACAAGAGCATTTATCAAGATCAGCTAAACGTAGGATTCTCAAAAGTATACGAGGTTCACGGCATAGACTCTTTAAGAGATGTTCAAAAGAGATGCTTCCCAATTCCCAACGGGATTTGGGAAAAGTATTATTTATTTTCCAAGCCTGACCGACCCTTGTCAGCATTTAGAAGGATCCCCAGCAGATCCAATTTTACTAGTTGTGTGTCCCCTCCTAACTATTATGAAAGATCAAGTGAAGTACCTAACTGCGAAGGGGATATCAGCCGCGTTTGCGGGCAAACATGAAACAACAGACGCTGACATCGCAGCTGGCTGATTCAGTATTGTGTTCGGTTCTCCAGAATTGCTTGTGGGTGTTAAAAAGTGGAGAGATATGCTTCAAACAGATGTTTACCGCGAGCGTCTCATCGGTATGGCTGGTGATGACAGTAGGATGCGGTAGGCTAAATTATTTAAGACAGCAATAATGGACAATTCCGCTTCCAACCTGTAGGGCGACCACAGAGGAAAAGTTACTTGGTGTTGCTTTAAAGGCACAGCATGTAAGAATTTTGCATTAAAACAACAAAAAAAACACTAGAACAATGTCATATTTTTTTCACTTTTTTACATTATCCCAAATGTTTCCAACAATGTTTAAATCCAGAGAAATTCACAATTTTAACCAGTGTAACTTTCCTCCTCAACACGTCACCTGTCAATGGCACCATGTCCGCATTATCCTCGGTTTCTGCTTTTAGAAACCATGGCAACACAGTAAGTCTCATGAAAAAATGAGGAAAACGCCAATCTGTTGCTGTTATCATTTGCAGCAGATTCTGTAGCCAAAGAGAACTCCAAGAACGTAAATGTACAGGTTAATCAAATCATTTAGAGAGATCTTTAAACAGAATTAGCCGTGATTTGTATGGAGGCATCGGATGACCAAATGAAATGGTAATTTGCGAATTGGGAAAATCAAGTGATTTTCGCCAAGAGCGCTCAGACCCCTGAAGAGGACCAAGTGTGAAAGCACCCAGATCTTCAGATTTTTTTCTTGGCTCTAATGGGAGATTAGTCATGTGTGAAAACAGGCACCATGAATGAAGTGGCGTGTAATTTCATTATAAAGCATGAAGTTGTCTTGGTGTGTGGTGTGTGTCAGAGAGCCCCATAAATCGAGTGAATCCTACAAGAAAAGGTCACATTTCACCCAAAATCAAAAGGATGAAAAAGTTAAGAATTTGGCAAAGAAAACAGTTAGTAGTTCTGGTAACAGCTATGGTAGTTCTTACCATAATGCATCATGAAGTTTCACTTTGAAGGTTTTGTTGTCATTGATGATTCTCATTAAACTGTCATTACTGTAATACAGTCATTTTGAACCCACACAAAGCAATATC